TACACAGATTAATTAGCTATAATAATAGATATAATGATGTCATAGCAACTGGTCAACATCGTTATTGTATTTTTTTCGAATTTTAATTAATTTTTTGCTCGGTCAAGAGTCAATACAAGCTCACGAGATAATATAATATTAATAGATGATAATTTAAAAATCTTTATTGGTTATTATTCGTTTAAATAAAATCATGGAAATATACTTTAACTAATAAAAAAAATTTTCCATTCCTAATAACAAATCAACAAGCTGCCTCGTAATATATAAATTTTTAATAAAATTAAAAAAAAATAAACTAATAAATTTTTAAATAAACAAATTCAAGAAAGAAAATGTGAATTGAAAATTTAAAAAAAAATCTACTTTTTATTCCATGTATATACCATTTATGCATTTTTAAGGTGTTATAAAGTTTCGATACTTAAACGTTATGACATTAACAGTTACCTATTATTAATCATGAGTACAAAATGAAAGTTAAGCAATTGTCTTTCACGTTTAATCTATTAGCTGAATCTATCGTTTCCTAATTCCCATTGTCAATCGCAATCTTTACAATCTTTTATATATTTCATCGTGAAAAATTCTCTCTGAAAAAGAGAGACATATTTCCTCTTTTCACACTAATATAATAATTCTCTTGAAATCCATTTCCAATGATATTGAAACAACTTGAAACAACCCATCGAATCTTAAAACTTGAAACTTCCTAATTCAAATAATTCCCGATCGTCCATCTCGCGAGCACAATCTTTTTTTTTATCAAAAATCTTTACATCCTTAAAAACTTACATCGAGTTCGACTTGCCTCCTCTCCATCCCTCGTACCCCACCTCACGTTGCTTCCTCGATCGAAGCAACGTGGTCCATCACCGATTTCCCTGATCTTGGCCCCGAGAACCGTGGTTGAAGTTAACGTGAAGTTAGAACCGACCGATCGCCTCGTGGCCGTCTCACGTGAGAGGCAGGGCGCGGTGCTCGTCGACGAAGGCTGATGGCACGTCCACCATATTCGGAACAGGGGACTGTAACACGTTCGTGTCGCTCTCCGCGTCTCCGTCTCCAATCTCGTTGTCCGTTGCCCCGGTCAACTCGCGCACGTTCCCCGGCAGATAGTCCTTCCAGCTTCTGAACAAGTATCTGGTGAATTTTCTAAGTTGTCTAAACTTGCAGTAGGTGGCGCCCTCCGCGGATTCCAACTGCTGCGTCTGGATCAGGAACCCCTTCTCCTTGAACGTTTGCTCCAATTTCTCCCTCTGCAACGACTTTCGCGTCTTCCTCTTGCGACGACCCTCCTCCTGGTTATTGCCCCCGCTCCTCTGGCAGGGGGGCGGTTGAATCCTTTCCCCGGCTGCGTTGAGGAAGGCGCCTGTCGAGGAGGCCGACTGGCCGGCTGACTGTTGAAGAGCTTCGCGGGGGAAGAACTCGTATCCACGCATACTCTTGTCCCCGGTACCGCTGTAATACCTGAAGTTGCCCCCAGAATCGACGGACAGGCTCTTCTTCTCTTGGAGGCTAGGTTTCGCCCCACCTGTGAACTTGAATTTGCATATGCTCACCTCTGTCGCGGGATTGTTGTTGTTCTCCGTGGGCATAGGCGGTATGAATATGGCGGAACGTTTCCTCTTGGTCGGCTGCCCTTGGGCTTGAGCGACGGGCGCGTTCCTCTTCGGCCTGGGCGAGACAGGAGGTTGGACCTGGGGGACCGTTTGGACGGGTGTCAACGGTTGAACCGTGGCAGGTGGTGCGGGAACGAGAGGTGGGCTCTTCGCCTCCATCATGGAGTATATCGATTTAGGAACGATCCTCTGCTCTTTCGGCCCTTGATCCAAACCTCTCGGATAACACTTGTCGTTCTGCGCCATCTTTTGATAGTAGAGCAGCTGCGACTGCAGCGCCATCGGGTGGATAAACACGCCCGCGTTGGGCCAATACACGAATCCCGGATTGGTAGCGAGCATAGGGTCTATTATATTGTTGTTGTGGTTCACGTTGTTCCCACTGTTACGAACAACCAACGGATCCAACAAGGGGCGATAGCTCGTTTCGGAGGGGAAAGTGGATCCTATGCACTCGACCTCCTCCCCGTCGCTCGACGTCTCGCTCTTAACCTGTCCAGACTCGTACACGTTCCCGTGCTTCCTCAACAATCTGATCTTCAATTGATTCAGATCCCTGATGCACAGGTTCAAAGGCTCGTCCTGCTGCGTCCCCGAATTCTCAACAACGTCGAACGTGCGCCGCGACTCCTGCGTCAATCGCTTCTCCAACAAGCTGCTGATCCTGTTCTGCACGTCCGACCTCTGGAACGGAATCGCGTGCGGGGAGATCCTCTCTCGGCAATCGCCAAGCTTC